TCGCGCGATTGTATTGCTGACTAGGAAACAAGTTGAGAGATTGTCTATGTACCTGTACATGAGGATGGGCTGCTAGAAACAAACAGCCCCATCTGAGAGTCGTTGTAGTGGTTTCCATACCAGCCAGGAAGAAGTCCATGCAAACGTTCACGAGGTTGTCGTGACTGAAATGATACGAAATGTGTTGGCATGAACATGCTGGGCATGCTCTCCAGCCGAGCTTCGCCTAGAAATCCCTTCAGAATCGCTACGGGCACAACGTTGGCAACACAGTTTTTTACTGCCAAACTACCAGTCGAACGTCACAACTCACCAGGGAAGGCATTCAACTTCCCATGGAACTTTGATGAGACCCAGATATATCGATAGAGCTTCAAACGCTGATTACAAATATGGAAACTAAAACTGCAAAATGAACCTGCCAAGGAAGTTGTGAGCAGTCAAAGTTGGCTGGAAGTAAAGCATTACACTAGCCTCCGGGCTTTCAAAGTCGCCGTGGAGTAGTGGTAGTGCTCTCGGAATTTGCGCTCCGACGGGAGGAGAGCTTATGACCTCCAGGGTGAATAGCGAGGGCACCACCACTGCTCCGCGGTGACTCTGAAAGCCCGGAGGCTAGCTTTACTTCCAGCCAACTTTGACTGCTCACAACTTCCTTGGCAGGTTCATTTTGCAGTTTTAGTTTCCATATTTGTAATCAGCGTTTGAAGCTCTATCGATATATCTGGGTCTCATCTCAAAGTTCCATGGGAAGTTGAATGCCTTTCCTGGTCAGAGCGCTGCCTACGTATCGTGTCAGGCAGTCTAGCCGAGAATCTCCGGGATATTTAGCCTTAGAGATAGGTTGTTTTTTACGTATTAGCAGACGCATGCGTTGCGTCTTACATTTACTTGGAAGCAGTGAGTGCCAATAATCTTGTTACCGAGAGTGCACATGCGTCATTAGGAATGGACCTGGGGGAACACAGAGCACGATTTGTAGCCTTTTATTGCGGTAGGCGCGCTAGTGGCAACGTACTGATGAAGGGTCATGAATTGATTTATTACAGTTCACATCTTGAAGTCTGATTGGGCGTGTCACAGGACGTGACGTGACTTGATAGAAGTTGCGCGGATAAGGTGCTTCCACCACGCTTCGCTGATATGTGGCGAAGTATTTTATCCACACGACATCTATCAAGTGCGGTGGCTGCCACGTCATTTCCGGTGACACGCCCAATCAGACTTCGAGATCGACTGGCCTCTTGCCTGGATAACTTCGTATTCTGAGTGTTTACTAATTAACGAAGCGATTGTGAGCAGGGTCAACCGTCCGTTGGACAAAGTCCAACGCATGGCTCTCTAGCGTGTGAGAGTAATGCCGAGAGTGAACGTACGCACGGAGACACAGACGGCTCGCGCAAGGCGAGTGTGAATGCCGGCACGGAGGAGAGCCGCGTCAACGCCGGTCCAACGTCGGTCCAATGTCGGTCCAACGTTCGGGTCCAGTGTCGTTCCAACTGTAAACGGGGGTTTGACCCTGTATGTAGGCACGCCTACGAATACAGACACAATGTGCGATAGATTCTGCGTGATGGAAGGTAATGATCCCGATCAACCTTCTCTCGAGTTCGTTCTTCTCTTTTCTCGTATTCGTATTTGGGTATGAGTTGGCCCATTCAATAGGTTGCCAAGTTGTTTAGTAAACAAGTTGGTGTTTTTCCTTTCAAGTAAGTCTGGACGGTATTAGACCGATTTCGTTTCCAACTAAGCTTTAGCTACTGTAAAATGATATAAAACTGTAAACACACTTCAAGTTAGGATTAGTTTGGCAAAAAAAGAATTTTCATCTTGATAGTATGCCTGCCACTAGGCATTCAGGCTCTTGATCACTGAGTTACGACGGCCAAGTGCACGTTTTAGGTGCATTCTCTGATAATTGGCGGGCTGAAACAAAGATTATGATTAAGGTGGTCGAAATTTCCAATAAAGGGTATGTATGTGATTGTCGCAAATTGGGCACCTAAATGATCAATAAGCCTGTCTACATCTTCAGCGAACTATAAAGTGAAGCAAAACTCTGACCATTTCAAGAATTGCTTCGAAACGACCTTTGGAGAGGTATCCAATCACTGGCAGATCATAAATGAATGGAAACAGTTGACCAAACAATGCCAGCTTGCTTCCCCTTGAAATAAGCCATTGAAAGAAAGTTATTTACGTGCATCTCATTTATTTGACGCCAAAAATTGGTGGACAATTACTTGGATGACCAAGTCCCATATAGCTCAGAAAAAGGGAAGGGCTAAATGTTGAGTGATTACTTTGATGATTCAAACAAGTTGGTGAACGCTTCAACGACATTCATTAGTCGATCGCAGTTGTCATACTCGTAGCTGAAGCCATACAACGTTTTGTTGATGATATTCGCAATAAACACCTGAAACAGCGCTTTTCGACCTTTGTTTGATGAATTCTACATCATCCTCTTCTCATATACGTTTATACTTGAAAGTAGCTTATTGACGCAATAATCCTAGATGCATTCGTGAATAATCTATTCTGATTTAGGACAGGTTCCCACGAGAAATATAGGAGCGCTGCTGTCGCGATTTAGAACCGCGCAACATGTCTACGACTTTGCAAAGTGAGCTACTAAAGGTAATGTGAGCTAATGGACGAGATACTTCGCGCACCTCCCGTTACACGAACGTGGATTATGACGTAGCGGTTGAGCCAAATACACGCCACTCAGAGCTGCGCGACCCCTCAGGGAAAGTGCCCCAACAGTGGACAGTAGTCGCGCTGCTCTGATCGTCTTTCACATAGCAACACAGAGGCATGACCTTTACTGGTAGTACAACTTTGAAAACAAGAAGTCTCCAAAATTTTGATTTTGGCTGCTACTGTGAAGCGAAGAAACGGGTACATTAGACATACCTGAATGGGCCATCTCAAATTGATTTCTTCTTTGTTTTTAATGGAAGACAGAGTGTTGAGCAAATCCTGGGCTGAGAGGAGCACCTAAAAGAAGAATTTCAGGTGCTATCGCAAGATACGGGGGCACTTGTGATGGCAATGCATTTGAAACGCGTAAACATGTCTTTTTGTTGAAAACGGGACTGAGCCTTAGGCGGGGGAGGAGAGACTCCAAGGTGCGTGAGCCATTTTCATTTTCCCCAAAGTTCCTGCCCCCTCCTAGGCTTAGTCCTAGAGGATGCCCCCGTATATTGCGATAGCGCCGAATTTCAGAAACGATCCTGACCTAACCTCTCTCCCTTTTAAGTAGAAAGCGTCTGCAAACGGGCACAGGTAAATAGCCACATTTTTGCCTCCTCGGTTTTCACGTGTGTAAACACCATAACATCTCATACTTACGGTTTGAGCTTACCTTCATGTTCTAGTATTTGATCACTATTATTTCAATGACCTTGTTTTGATTCGTCAACCTACCTCACCGATTTGAGTAACAAGGGGGGTCTTCCATTGCAAGCCACGGTTCTTCAAACACGTTTTTTCAAACGGTTTTGTGCATATTGTAGGGACGCATGTAGGGAACAAAACCATGTTTCATTTTCGCTGAACGGTTATAGCAGTACCAAAAAAGAAGCATAAGGTACTGTTAAGGGTTCGATCCCCCGCGACTAAATTTTGCATTTGGGTTGGCGCCTACGGTTTTTGCCAAATCGCGCTAAACGTCTCAATATTCATGCGTCATGACCGTTCAAAGCCACACAGTGCCATGGTTTTGTGATCATACAAGCTTTCCTGACAATTGCAAGGAACCATTTCCCAGAAAGGCGGCTGAGCCCAATAAGACCCCTTGTATGAGATTGACAAAATTTGAGCCGAACTCGTTGGTGGCCAGTCGGAAGCAAAATAATCCTCTTTTCTCAAGTTACCATGCCTCCTCATCAAGTTTTCCCCATGCCGAAATCCCTGAGAATATGAAGGGCTGCTCGGCGCTGCTCTTTCCAGTTTTCGCCCTAAATGAATAGCAATTTACTATATTTCAGCAGACTAGGAGAAACACATTAGTTCAACGTCGCATCTTCTGGCAGTAGTAGGGTATCATGACAATCTGAGGTAACGCTAATTGTGCTGAAAGACTGGTCAGTGAAGATAGGGACAAAAGAAATCGCCAACGAACTCCCAAACAGGGTCCTACCCTTCAGAACATGGGAGTCTAAGAAAGCCTCTCTTGCTAGAGACAAAAGAATGGAAGCTGCTGTCGAAGCCCGATACAGCAGTATGAATGCTTAAGTAATCTGAGGCCAGCGTTAGTTAATATGCATCGCCCTCGAAAAAAGCAAGAAGTATGCGAGAATCACATCGTGTCTGAGAAAGACGCTGACAGGTTACTCAGAATTTGCCTACATTTCCCTGAAAACAGCAAAGGCTAGAGCGTGGAAGTCACCCGCAATTTGGCGTTAACACGTTGCGGCTAACTGGAAATGGAGTTCGCGTACGAAGGGCATTGCGGGTGAAGGAGGCTTCTAACCCCTTTTCATGCCACCCCAGTGCCGAGGTCAGCAGACTATAACGGCCGATGCATCTGTTGAAGCCGCGTGATGGCGACATGGAGTCTCTTGACCAATAAGAAAAGCTGTTCGAGTGTAAAATATTTGAAGTACCTGAGAAAAAATCACTCCGCCGTTCTCAACGTTCTGAAGAAGAGTATCAGGAAATATGCCACTTCGACCACCAAAATCGTCACCTGAACGTTCATCTTTGAATTAACGTAGGTATTTCAACCACAAAGAGGTAGTCGTGATTGAGGTTTGTTCGATCTGTTACGTGAAGGAGGTTGCACCGTGAAGAGAACTTATAGGCGAAACAAAACCCAGATTGACGGTATGAAAAGAGCTACCCAAGGCACTGCAGTGAAGAAAAAACTAAAGCAAGCGGTCTTAAACTGTAAAATGAGACCCTTGTCTTCCATGAAGATTCCCGTGTTAGACGAGTCTCACTGCTGCTGCCGTCATCAACGTGAACGACTCTTCGATGGAAAAGCTAGGATCCCGCAGTCCTGCCGCGGGGGGTAAACAAG